AAAAAACGAATCCAACGTTGATCGCGTGTCTACACGGTACTCGTTATATACACGATTAAAATAGAAATCGTTCTAGGCGACGCGGCCCGCTAAGACGAATTGTTCCGCGGGATCGCGTTCGATAATCAATTAAAAAGTTGAAACGCCCGGCGTTTCCGTTCCGATTCTCGACGAGTTTGTGATGGGATCGAACCCGAGGGATGACGAGAATCGATGGACTAGTGATGGATGGTGGCTAAGTACGAGTCGACTGGAGGAGCAGAGGGTTCCCGTCGATCGCGATCTAAGTTCCGCGGCGCGGGCTGGGCTCAGCCTCGCCGGGAACAGAAGCTACGTCCTCTCGGAATATTGTCTGTGAAGCAGAGCTTGAAAAATAGGACACGGATCGGTCATCGTTCCTTCGAACCGCTAAAACGACTGACACTTAAACCTGATAGATCCTCGGGGCTGGTAGGGGGTTGGATGAGCTAGTAAAAAAGTAACGAGGAAACGTCCCGCGGGTCGACTCTCCCTAAAACGGAAACGTTCCGGGACAGGATGAGCGTACGAGTATGGTTTCGATGGTGGTTCGATGGTGGCTGGTGGCTGCAAGGTATGGTTCGATGCCGGAGATTACGCGATTGATTAATCAAATAATAGCAACGTAGCGCTACGCTCTCGAGTCTTCCTATCGATTAGTAATTATTAGTCCACGATAACTCGATATGACGGGTTGCTAAGTTTGGCCGCTTCTAGGTTTTCTTAGGTATACTTCTCTACCGCCGCTAGAACGTTTGCATCCCCCTCCCTCGGGATCTCGAGTGGTTCGAGACGCTTAGTAGATTTACCATTTTCAGTTACTATATCCTTCGAACTTAAGTACATGGAGTATATATAGAATACGCAGAATGTAAGCTGATTCCACGGATAAATAAATATAAAACATTGCTCTCGTTTATCTTCAACCCCTTTCTCTACTGTTTTACTCTATAATAACCATAAGATACTCTTAAGTAACGACATTTCCTAGACATACTTTCATTTGATTTTCTCACGTATCACCCTGTTTTCGTTTACAAAACGCTCCATTTATTCGTCACGAAAGAAACGCGATTAAAGAGTCCAACCTCCGATCGAACGAAAGACAGAGTAAAGTACATCTCGAACCTTGAATCCCGAGGGCGGCGGGATCCCGAGTGTATTGAAAATCCTCCGTCCCGACGGGATCGAGAGAGTCGTCCAGGCTTTTCGAATACGTGATCGAATCGCGCATGAAACATCTACGTTGCCTCGCCTCTACTCGACAGAAGACTACTTCTCCTCCCTGATCAGGGCCTCCTCCGCCTCCTTCCGCCTCGCTTTCGCCTCTTTCTTGGCCCTTTTCTTCTCCTCCTTCGCCAGCTTCTTCGCTTCCTTCTGCCTGGTCTTCTCCGCTTTCTCCTCCTCCTTCTGGCGCGCTTTCTCCGCCTTCTCCCTTTCCTTCTCCCGTTCCTTCTCCTTCTTCGATCTCTGGACCTCCTGCACCACGGAGGACTTCGGCGCCGCCTGCGGCCTCTTCGTCGCCGACCTCGCCGACGACGAGGACGTCGGCGTCGCGCCGCTCGAGGAGACCCTCGGACTCGGTGACGTTTCCAGCTGAGTCACGATCTTCTGAGCACATCTGCGGAAACGAACGTTGCGAACACGCGTTGCGGATACATGCCGGCTGCATGTTTCAGTCCGGGAGTCGATTATGGAGGATGTGAGAGGGTGAGCTTGCAGAGCATAGCAAATTTGATCCATTGAATCGAGTCTGGATTTATTGATGCGCTGTGAGGCTAAATTCGGCAGTTATGAGTCTTATGAGGGGGTCAGTCTGGTGAGTATAGCGAATTCATCTAGCGGGGGTTGGGGTTGTTAACCAGTTAACTGTGGAATTTAATTGGAAGAACCTCTCGTTTTCGATAAAATCGAAAAATGGATCGTGTACTCGTCGAACGCAGGACGAATGCACGTGAAGTATATTTTAACCGTTTGGATGCTAAACAACTTTTGTGGATATTTACCAAAAATGCGGAAGTGATTGGGTGTGTATGCAAAGACATTAATAAGAGTACTTATCTAATGAGGTTACAGATACTGTGTTATTACAAAAAAATATCAAAAAATAACATTTATTCAAATAAATTTACTTTGATTTATTTCTTGAAGAATATAGTAAGAAAATTATAATTGATACTGATAAACAGAAGCGGCTCCGCGCTCTCCGCAATTTTGGCTCAACACAAGCGCTATAGCGCTCCTCAGCACTCGAACGGTTAATGAAAGATCAAAGCGAAACAAAGAATTACATGTTTATGTGAGAAAATAGAGAATTCATCGCTGAAAGAATTAGTATTATGTCAAGCTTTATAACGTGTATACTCGTCAAACACAGTTAACTGGTTAATACGTTAAACGCCATGGAAATCTTAAGCGTTCTGTCGTAGTTTATCTTTTGTGGCAAAGAAAAGAAGGAGCAATTAATTATTTGGTACGTTATTAAACATTTTCATTTCATATCGGTTATGTTGTTGGTTACGGTTGTGTTCTAGTCATTCAGAAGCAGTCAGTGAATGACATGGCGCTTAACGTGTTAATGGAAGCGCTGCGAGGCTTTGCTAATTGTGAGGTTTACGAGGCTACTAAACTTTGTAGAGTACTAATGTATTGCATACGAGGTTATAAAGAAATTAATGAAGATATGTTTAATTAAATTAAAAAGCTAATCGTGTATTAACACTAGATTTACATTTACTGTACGGTCCATTCGATTGTTCTCAGAAGAATTATCCGTTCATTTAGATCTTAGGAATTAGAGGTTTAAGAATAGACAATTAGGATACATATTTGCATAAAAACATGTACCAAATAATGCTTATAAAATTCAATATGAGTGAAATTGACTCGTTCCGTGAATCTAGTGTTAATGGTATAATATTCGTAGCGAGAGGAGGAATGGCGTTTCTAAAGGATAATATCCTGGAAGAATGACTGATCGACAGTAAATAAAATAGCAAATCAATTACCGTATCCTAGTGGAGGCTTTGCCCGCGCGAAAGTCCCTCTGGAATTCCTTGATCGGCGGCAATCTACGTTCCCGGTTCTCCCTCATGATCTCCTCCTCCTCGTTAACTTGCGGGACAGGATCCTGATACTCCTGCGACACGCCGGTAAAATGGACAAAGTTAACCGGGGATCTGATATTAAGCTTCGCTTAAGCGTTCCGCGTCCGTGCCGGTCTAACCTGAATCCTCATTTTCATGGACTGCGTCTGCGAGCGTCTCAAGATCTCGCCGGAAGGTTGCCTCACCCTCGTGGGTTTACCCAGGTTGGAACTTCCTGTGCTACACGCCGAAGACGAACTCGAAGAAGATACGGAAGACACTCCTACGGGGAGAAATGATTTATAGGAAGTGCCCTTTGTTTGCTGCTCGCGGTTTAACACTGGAACTACCGAGCATTTGATACGATTGAAACAATCGCTGTGAATATTGTACTAATAGATTATTTTCGGTTTCTTCAGACATTCATTATAGTTTAAATATTTTATAAAACTATATATTATAGTTTTTATATTCATTATATTCAAGTGAAACTATTTATTTTCAAAATTACTTCGAATATTCAATACTTCGAAGATATTAATAATTGCGAAACAGAAAAACTGACACCAGTCATTTTGATTGGTACGGTAGTTCTAGTGTTAAGAACATTATTTCATCATTTATAATGTGGAATACTATTAGATGTCTTGATAAGAATATTAGTTCAACCCTTAATGTATTCGATATTATTCAACCCCTCGGTAAGAATGTTATTTTGTCTTTTAATAATTGGAATATTAATTAGTCCCTAAACAAGAACTTTGTTTCAACCTTTAATCTACAGAATATTATTCAACCTCATTAATAAGAATGCTATTTCGACTTTTAATAAATAGAATATTATTTAGTTCTTAAATAAGAATATTGTTTCAACCTTTAATGTATAGAATATTATTCAACCCTCTTAATAAGAATGTTATTTCGACTTTTAATAAATGGAATATTATTTAGTTCCTAAATAAGAACATTATTTCAACCTTTAATGTACAGAATATTATTCAACCCTCTTAATTCAACCCTTAACGTTTAAAATATTATTCTACCCTTTGAGCAAAATATTATTTTAGCTTATTATTCCAAACTACTCACCAGAAATAGAGGATGAGCCACTGGCCATGGAGTACAGGGACGCGGAGGCAGGTACGCTACCTGCAACCCATCTGCCACCAGGTCCAGCCACCCCTCCGGCCCCTCCTGTACTCATATTGTACTCCGATGAACTCTGTGGCAAGACCCAGGACTTTCCTGACATCGAATACTGAGAAACAGAAAATAGTAATGTCAGTCATACGAGAGATTTCATATATAATTGAAGAAAAAAACAGAGATATAATCGTTTTCAGCGACATTTCTATTTAAAATTATCCGTTTCAAAAGTGGAATTGCTTAAATACACCTTCTTCTCGCATGCGAACCGATGATCCCGGATTGACAAATTATGTCATCCCTTGGAATCAATATGTAACACTGAGAATGATTTCCCTCTCGTTTCACGTTACCCGGAAATTCAGTCGCTGAATTAGGGTAGTTGATGTTCTTGCGATCTTTCAGTATTTTTTAAGTTAATCAGTTTCGTTTTATACAGAGTGTTTCCAAAGTATTGCGCACAAATGATAGCTTCCGAGATCAAAATAAGTTTAGTTTGAAAAGGAATTTATGGGGGTCTGTGAATTCAATTTCTGTATTTAAAATTCCACAGAAGATTAAACAAATGGCAACAGAATATAAATTCCAATGAGTAGTACGTAGAAAATCAAATATTTTCGCACTGACCGCGACCCATCGTCGGTCAATTCCAGGAAATTGATAAGCTTGGGGTTGCGATTTTTATTACGGCCGCGCAGGTACCGGAAGTTCTTCGAAATTTCCTTTTCATATAGTATTAAGTAAAGAGTCCATTTCGCAGAAATCGTAAAACCCCCTAAAATTCCTCAAATTTTTCTTATAATTAATATCCAAAAGAATAATAACAGGGATCGCTAGCAAATACGGCCGGAAATTGCCGAATATCCCTGATCAACGATGAATATTCCGAAATTTCAGTTGTTCACCGTGAGTCGCCGTTCGCGAAAGAGCTCTGTCCTTTTTCGTCATCGGTCTCGCGCGTTTCCGGGCACGATTTTATAACTAAAAGCGTGAAAATTATGTATTGTCACTAACAACCGAATAATCTCGCAGAAAGAACTTTGTGCTAACCTCTCGCTCTACAATAACTGTGCCAAACTCGCGTTAAAGATTTCAAACAGAATTTAAACCATTGTCAATCATTGCTTCTTAGTCAAGATATTTTTCAAATAGATCGTATCGTTGTTATTTCCAATATTATTAGCAATAGTTGAGATCGCGGTCGAGAAACGAAGAAAAGAGCAAGGGGTTACGTTGATTCGCAAAGAGAAATGGGTCCCTCGTAGCAACCTCCTCGTGGTGGGCCTGGAAACCAGCATCATCGCCGATAGAGTAATTCCTATCGAGGATGGTGTTGGGCCGATCGGCTGCGACATTGTACGATTCATGTAAAAACGTGTCGAGCAATTATCCTTTAGCTTCACTTCGCTTGTTTCTCTTTATTCCTATTCACGTTGCCATGTATGCAAGTGATCGGCCGTTTGTCTAATCAGCCAGTTCCGCCGTGCTTGAGATCGGTGTCCGAGTTGAAAGGTTACCGGTGGTGCGCACCGTAGGGCGGTGGTGCTCACGCCATCGTCCATCGCGACAGTCAGTATCGGAATCCTACTTCGAATTCTCCGGAATTCTGAAGTTAATAGGAATTTGGTGCTGGCTCGTGACCATCCTCTGATCTGTAGGCGAGGGCATCGTGATTCGGCGCGGTGGTTGCTGACTGCTTTGACTACGGATTGCTCGCGTCACCCTCATTTTGCTGCTTTTCAATCAGAGACTTCTTCTCTGATTTCTTTAGTTTCAAACGAATCAAGGACTTCCTTCTTGCTTCGTATTTGTGTCTTTTTTTGGCCCGATAATTGTTCGGCAACTGCGACCCATGTATAGTCTAAGGCTATACTAAGTTAGAACTAAGATTGTAATCCCTGATCTTGCTTTTGTTGAATCAGAGACTTCTTCTCTGATTTGTCTGATCCTCGAATCAAGGACTTCTTCCTTAATTCACTCCCTTTACTGCGATGATTGTGTAATTTAAGTTATCCGATAAGGCTATGGTAAGTTAGAAATAAGCGCGCGAAAGAAGACATCGATCATCCGCCGTGGGATACATTTCAGACTCAAGAAAGAAAACAGCCGTCGTGGGATTATTAAGTGCGTTAAAGATAAGACTTAGACGTAGAAACAGAGGTCGGTGGAATTGAATTTTCCACCCAGCTCCCAGAGACCCCCGCAGCAACCTCCACGTAGTAGACCTGGAAACTAGCAGCATCGCCGATAGAGTACGTCCTATCGAGGATGCTGCTAGGCCAATGGCTGCGAAATTGTATAAATTGTGTACTTCTCAGTGTACTCAGTATTTCGATGCATAAATTTCAGATGGTGTAAAATAGTAAATATCTTTAGAGAACCAGAAGTAGCAGTGGAACTGTGATACGAGAAACTTTTCACGTGCAGTTTCAATATTATCCGAGCGACGGTATAATACTGGCAAAGAGGGTTTACAATTATCGGAATCGTTAAAGCTCACGCGATGAAACTTCTCCGACAGAGAATAAGCAAACATTTTTAGTATCGATTAATAAAACGCTAAGCCTCTCGGCTCATCCAATAAATTCCGATACATTTCAAATAATACTGAAATTTGTTTGTTCAACTGGACAGCATCAGAATCACTCGGTTGGCTGAATAATGCCTAAATGGGCGCGCACGTCTGTCTAGCATTGTTGATAGAAAATTAAACGCGCGAAACGCTGTTTCTACGCGCTGCCACGGAATAAACGAATAACGGAGAATACGGTCTTAATTATGCATTCCACGGCTAATTAATAATTCCGCGGTGTACCCGGCGGAAAGAAATTTCCCCGGAACAATCGTGAATCGAGCGGTCCTCGACGGTAATCGTTCGCTTTCAGTGAAATTCTCGATGCAGCGAACAACGGCTCGAGAACAGAGGCACGTGAATGGAAAATTCGAGGAAAATTTCGTGGCCGGCCGTTGTCGGGGCCGATTCGCGCGCGAGAGAGGGCACAAGAGCCGTTTATTTATCGAGGAAACGAAAACGTCGGGCTCGAACGAATTATTCACGGGTCGTTTCTCGCGCTCGCTCGCGCGCGCGCGCGCCCTCGGCGGCGCCGGAATTTCCGATTAATTGCGGCGCAACGTACAAAAAGGAAAGGAGAACACGCGAGGAAATGAAAAAAACAAAAATATAGAAACGAGAGGGTGGTCCGAGCATTCAGGCCGGACGATATTTATGAAAACCGTGCTGAACGGAACGGTCATACGTCGCGGCGGCCCCGGGTTCGGCCTCGCTGAAAGGTGACGAGGGCTTTTTGAGTCCGCTCCAATTAGCTGCGATTTTACGCCGCTGCAATCGGATCGACGAATGGGAGGGGAGAATGCCAGGGAGACAGAGAACGCCAGAAATTGCGAGACAAACAGGATATTCCGGCGGAAATTGTAAATCCGACGAGTTCGGGCGTCCACTGACGAACATGTGGAATTAGAAAAAATGAATCTCTAGGCGACGCTTTTGGAATCTTGATACAATCGAGTAAATGATTCTACGTGAACGGAGAAGTTTATAATGTGGACAAGCTTTCATGTGACTTTGTGTCCGAGATAATTGATTTTGAAGGTTTGGTCGCGTAGATTCGAGGTAGTTAGAAGTAGAAAGGATAAATCATAGATAGACATGTTAATAGTGTCCTTTTTTTTTAAAGATATTGATATATTATTATCGTGCTTTTACTCAGCTGAAAACGACGAACGATTACGCAATTGATACCGATACTTACGTCTCGCGGGATTAGGGTCTGTTTCAGACGCAAGATTTTCGCTCTGCATATGACGCACCGCAGGGGTAGCAGCCTCTGCGAGACAGCCATTTGTATTGTCTTGACGAAACAGCGTCTGCAACAGAGGGAGAACAGAGATTCGGATATTGATGTAACTGATGATGTAACTTTGAATGTCACTGGTTTCGAGGCTTCTCTGTTTTCGTTGTTTGTTGAAGAATTCAACGAGTGTGAAGATTATATAGTATTGATACCATGATCATAGAAAATGATTGTCATAGAACATAAAATAAAATTTGCGGTTTACCTGCATACTACTCGGTGCCCACACGGAGCCGTCTGCATCGTAGCTCTCGCGTTCACGCATATCACGCACTGGAAACATAAGAAAGCACTAACTTAGTCCCCATCCTCGTAACAAGGAAATTCTATCGATCAGATCATTATCATTCGAGAATAACTTATAGTTCCGGGAAAATCATGTTCGCTAGACGTTCATAGGAAGATAAGGGACTGAAGCTCAGCTGGGGAGATTTTTATGATGTCCAATGAAAAGTTCCAGGATTTAAAAAGTTTTAAGCACTTCCGTAGAAATGTACAGAGTGGTAAGAGTGTAACACTTCAGAGTTTTACAGCACCCTCTGAGGCCAGTAAAAAATGCATAACGGAAGTAGCTTTCGGAATCTATAAGTACTTAAGGTAGTAAGCTTCGCTCGCACCCTAAATCCTTAGCAGTGCCTGAAGCACAATAGGGGATAGTCATTAGCAACTCTTGCTTATCAACAATTTTATTTCATTTCGAATACATTAATCATTTTACATCTTCATTGTCAATAGGAGCCTAATTTCAGAAACCTCAATACAATCTACAATAATTCTCCAATAGATCATGCGCTAGTCAAATATTTAAACGTATCAATCGACATCGATAAACTGCAAACTGTTCCTCAATGTAACGTCTGCGAATGAATCAGCCGTGATTCGTTCAACCCATCACGTTGCGAGCTCGATCTAAAAAAAGATGTGTCAATCTCCGAAGCTCATTAGCCAGAGGATGTCTGTTCATTATCGTCCATAGCAATTTTCCTATATTTACCCATCACAGAGCCCGCCATGCCCATCGCTTTATTGAAAAAGTCCGTGCCTTCCTTTCCCATAGTGTCCATTGCACCGCTCATAGCACCACCCACGTCACCCACTCCACCCATGCCACCTCCACTCATTCCCGTGCCACCCATTTGATCCTGGGGAGATCTCTTGCGTCTCATTTGACCCGTAGCTGATTCTGCCGCCTGCATTCCAGCGTTAAGCATGTCTGATGGCATACAAGGTGGCGGTACACCATCTGGTGGTGGTCCTGGAGGTGGTGGTCCATTAGGAGGGGGTGGTGGGCAAGGGGGTAAGTCTTGAGGACTGCGTTTCGACCTCATAGTTGTGGGGTAGTCAGTAGACATGGTGTCCATCTCTGACGGAACAGCCTTCGACGCAACTTCGGTCACCTCGAATTGATTTTCATCTTAGTTCGGACGCTTCCTAATGATTTTAACACTAGACTACCAGGAAAATGACCCATTCCTAAATTCTTTACAATTATTGTAAAACAATAGATCCTTTTATAAGAAATTTCGAAAGAATTTTAGTAATACTAGAACTAAGTTTTGAGTGATGGAAGTCTTGATCACTCTTGGGGTTTCTATAGAAAATTTTTAGAAGTCAACTCGACTGATAGTTCTAGTGTTAATGGATCGATCAGTGGTCTTGTGATAGATGGAATCTCGAACTTGCATAATTCAGAGAATCGAATTTGAATTGCTGAAGCTTGGAAGAGTTCGAAATTTGAGATTTGAAGTTCAAAGACAGAGATTCGATTTCATTTCTTTAAAATTGAATTATAAAATATTTGAAATGAAGTAAGTCGGTTAAGAGGACGTGAATTAATTTCGATGTTTTGTAATTTAACCCTTTGCACTCGCGAGGCAACTCGCAGTTGATTGACAGAAAAATTACAAAGTTTGTTCAATATTAAATTTCATTTAACTCAATTATCCATGAAACGTTAAAATAGAATAGTTCTATCCCTTAATTTCTATATTATTTATAATAATATTAATTATGAAACATATCATTGATATTTCATTAGAGAACGAGGAATATATCCAGCGAAATAATTTCCGAGCGCAAAGGGTTAATCGTGTCCCAAAAATCACAAGACAGGTATCAAACGGTTCAAAGAGAGAGCGTCGCTTACAGAGAGGACCAAAATGGCGGCGACGCCGGCAAAGATGAGAAGATGCTTCATGTTTCCCGGGGGACGAGTACTCGACACTGTTTCCTCCGCTTTGGTGACACGGGAATAAATAGCGAGCGTCCCGAATTGCGTCGCAATTGCGGCGACGGGAAGGCGGAGGAAGGGAAAACGAAATAAAAAGGATGTGCGGCGCAGGTGGATCGCACGCGAAAAGCGCGTCGTTGAAAAAGAAACGATCTGCGCCGTCATTATCAGGCCGGTCCGATTGCCGGCCATTGTTCTCCGTCGGCCGAGATAGTTTGTTTCAGTTTTTCCGTGACGGAACCGCGCCGGAAATTACGAGGAACTCCGCCGAAAATAAACAATGCCAGACCGCGACGTCCGCCGCTAATTGCATTCAAAGTTATCGGGCCGACGATCGTTCCGCTAATTCCAGTTTAATAATTGCGACTCTTGTCAACACGCGGAACCAATTTGCACCTCGACAATAATCCGCGAACGCGGAGCGAACAGGGATTACGGAATTATGTAATTTCCGCGATGCTCGCAGCGTGTCTCGATACTTCGATGGAACATCGATTGTTACCCTGACTTTCATGCGCAGTCCATTTCCATTGATTCCTTGCGACAGATTGTAAAGCGTGTTACATTCAGAACTCTTCAGCGTTATGCTCCATTACTTTTATTCTGAACCAAGCAGATTCGTTCTTGGAAGTTCCAATTTCAGTAGAAGCCGACGAACAGACACTATCCAACTGATTCTCAGTTCAATATTCAAAGAGAATTCTCTCAAAATCCTAACATTCGACAAAATAATTTCACAATTTCAATCGTACTTCATATAAAATCAGTTTATTCCTCACTCCATCATTTACACGATTAATTAATCCATAAGTAGCAACTTATTCCATAATCAGCAACTCGCCGACGAGGATTCTCAAAAGAACTACTCTCGCATAAGACATTTACGTTTCTCCTGTAATCCCGATTCCTTTAATCGCGACACATCGACCGGCCCGGTGTCAAGGTTATTAAAGATCTTCTGCCCGATTAATGACGCAATCAGGAAGCTCGAGACAGTCCCAGCGGCGGTGGACACGCCGGTCTTGTCGCGTGCAATCAGCTCGCCGGTCCGGTGAGCCTGTTTACAGGCGGCCTCAGGCGAGGCTAATTGACATAAACGAATTAGGCGTCGACTTAATCGAAATATTAATAGTTCGCCGAGGATGGCCGAACATGTCAGGAGTCGCAGGGTCGGCCGACGACCGCTTTGTCGAGCCCCGTTAATCGACTTTCGCGAGCCATTGAACGGCTCGTTCGAACGGAAATTGCAACTTTTCCGGGCGGCCGGCTGTCTTTCGTCGCCGACACACGGGACAGGTCCTCTCCTCTATGCAGCCAGCCCAGCTGGAGCGTCGAAAATTGTCTGTGCACCGGCTCAAACCATGGCCACTAACCGGAACGCGTATTAATAACACCGTGTTGTTTTCTGGGTCAACGTGACTTCCTCTTTTGGAAATCGCTTGTGTTACGGAAATATTCTTTCTCGCGTATAAATCACGGCCAATCAATTCCCCGCGACCACTGGGGTTTTAACGACAGAATTCTATTCTATCTCGTTCGTCTTCCACGGTCTGACAGGTAAAAATGTATTGCGCGCTTCTCCACTGACGTAACCGTCGTCATTCTAATCTGCGAGTCTTTTATGTTCCTCGTATAATGCGAGCTTTAAAAAACCGAGAAATATAGACGATAATCACGATCATTTCGCGGAAGAGATTCGATTGAAACGAATAGATAAACGGACGTTTCGTGGGAAATTATTTAATATCAGAATTATGTAACGACCGTGTCTCTTGGAAATAGAGGAAAAACAATTGTCTACTCGACACGCGAAGTATTTAGAAATTTTCCATTTTATTGGAATTGTATGAAGAATCTACGATGTATTTATTTAAAGTTTCGTTTGATTGTACAGGAGCTGGTTTTGTAGATATTTTATGGGGTCGGTAATTGGTTGGAAACGCTCGGAATCAGTTTTGCGGCGAAGAGGATCGCCTAATTCGTTGAATCGCGATTGATTCCGCGGGACGTTTCGATTGACGTCAAGAGGACGACGGTTTCTTTTATCCAAGCCTCTTTGCTTACGGGGAAACGAGAAAATCTGATTCGAGCCGCCAATCATGGGGCCCCTGTCCCGGTGAAATTACGAATTAGGCTTGATTACGTCTTGTCCCCGTCCCAGAGGGGGAAAGTAACGAGGTTACCGCGGGGAGCCTCGAGGAGGAAAGCGGAGGCGGACACGGCGGAAAGTGCAGCTGACCTTACCCACCACCGGACACCCTCGCCCCGGGATGTTAATTGGATCGGAGGCTACTCGAACTTTCCCCCCAGGAAATTTCTTTCATTCGATGGCGGGATTAAGTGAAACCTCCCCGTGATTATTCATCGAATTCGGATGTAGTCCGGTTCGATTTGGGACAGGTTTCGCACCTTAACGCTTCCGTTAATCACTTGTACCGCGAAATAAGGGAGGAGTCATTTAGAAATGAACATTTCAACGAGTATATTATAATATGTAGAACTTAACCCTTAACGAATTATTTCAAGTTTATTGATCGAGAAATATTGTAATATAGATAACAAGTAGGAAGAAATTCATAGAAGAGAACTAGTAGAATACTTGACGCGTTAGTTGTAAATATTACAATTTAACCGTGATAATGATAAAGAAATTTTTGTGTTTATAGTTATTTGCAGATCTTAAGAAAATTCAGTCCTTAAAGATTTCTATAATTTCTAGTTGGAAATAGTTGATTTTAGTAATTTATTTTCAATGGTAAACGTTAAACTTTTAAAGATAGAATAAAATTTGTAGTTTATTCTATGTTTGTGCAAATCTTTTTAGGAAACTTCAATCCCTAAAGAATTTAATCATTTCTAAACCCTAAACTTTAGAGATAGAATAAAATGTGTAATTTATTCTGTGTCTGTGCAAATATTTTTAGGAAAATTCAATCCTTAAAAAATTTAATCATATCTAGTTGGAAATAGATAATTTTAGTAATTTATTTTCAATGTTAAACCCTAAACTTTTATAGCTAGAATAAAATGTATAATTCATTCTGTGTCGGTGCAAATCTTTTTACGAAACTTCAATCCCTAAAGAATTTAATCGTTTCTAGTTGGAAATACATGATTTTAACAATTTATTTTCAATGTTAAACCCTAAATTTTAAAAATACAATAAAATTTGTAGTTTATTCTTCGTTTTATCTTCACTATGCACGGGTACAAATGTTCCAAAGGATTCTGTCGAAGGAAGAAAGGACTTACCTCGTCCTCCTGTGAAGAGGCCAGCTCAGGCTCGTTCTCCTCCAGCTTCGTCAGCAATTTGTCCTGGAACAGAGAGACAGATTTCCTGTGAAACAGCCCGCAGGATATTACAGACAACACCTCTACCAATTTCGCTAACCGCCGATAGAGATCGATCCCCTTTTTCCGCGAGTCACACAGCCTAGGAAGGAAGGCCCGATCGTTTTTCGCGGAACGCTGAATCATAGTGATATAATACTTCGCCGCTATTCTTGCAACGCGGCGCGTACCACGCGACTGATCGATATATTATTTCTTTCCCCGGTTTCCCTTGTTTTTCCCTTCTTTTTACCGTTGCCACGCGATCTCGGGACGTGCCAACTCGAACCGTCTACCGCCCCACGTCTAACAAACGAGCGGTATCTTCTCGGATTTCCCGAATTTCCACTCGAGTTTCCTTCTTGCGCTGTTCAGACTCAATATTCCTTGGGGTCGGAAGCACTTGAAATATCATGCCGGAACGAGACCGGAAATTCAAGCAGTTCTTACATCAGCGTTCTCGTTACTCGCGTGCCACGTAAAAATAACAATCAACCAATTCCAACGAATCCAATCAAAGTCCTCATAATTGCTGAATTAAGGGCTTCACGAATGGAGCTTGGTTCCTAAATTTGTCAAACTCGCTGCGATCAGCTTAAAATAAAATTCTCTATGTACCAATTACTATCATACACGTTACATTTACGAAATAAAATATTCTAATATTCAATTCAAACTAGGACACTCCCTAATTACAGTAGCACCATAACGCGACTAAAAAATCGAAAAACTATGAAAGTGAAATTTTTCATAAACTGATACAATCAGAGGACCAATTTAATACAAATCAGGTCAGTATCCAAAGCTATGCGTCTTTATACAAACACGAGATTTCTCGTTACCGGTATACAATGTGTTAACAATGCGCTAATTTTCAAAAAACTGACTTGCAGATGGCAATTTTCACTGAGGTCAACTTACACATACAAAAACGCAGATATCATATTGTTATGTAATATATTTTAACACGTTGTATTCCGTGGGATCCATCGGTGACCCCCAACCAAACCGAATTACTGTAATTCAATCAATTAAACGCCGATTATTTAAAAATATTTCTATGTTACAAATAATGCTACCTAATGTGGTGATGTTCAGCTAGACGAACGTGCAATAATAATAAAGCAATTCAATCAGATGATTTAATATTATATTTTTTCCATTTTATGTATTTTGCTCTATGAAATCGTGCGGCGTTCAACGTGTTAAATAGATAATCAATTAAATTTTATATTTTTTCAATGCTGTGGTAATTAACGAAATTGCATAGCTAAGTGTCTTCACATAAAAACGAGATTTCTCGTTACCGTTGCGCAACGTGTTAATAACCAAACAAAACTGAAGAGTCCGCGGGGAAGGACTCCGGCGTAGTTCGTCCAGGTTTCAGGAAATTCGTCCCCCAGCGACGGCCGGGGGAGGGGGCAACTTCGAAATCTCTTTCCGGGAGGCCGCGAAATTAACGCGAGTTTGCTCACTGTTCCGCTCGTCTGGTCGCGGTTCGTTAAATCCAACGGCGGTCGAGATGCGTCGCCAAATGTCGAACAGGGCGGAGCGAGAGGGGAGGAAACGGGAGAGGAAAAAAGATTTCCCGTCACGTTTCTTGGCAGCGAGCGCCGTTCGAGGAGACAATGGACGCCTGGGAGGCAGGGGATGATGATCGGTGGCAAGTTCCCAGTGTAAATGGAAAATTGGCTGGCTGTGATTCGGCGTGGGTCCACACGGTCGGGTGCGTCGCGTCGCGCCGGGTCGGGGGTGCAAAAGTTGCTGGTACCCGACGCCGCACACCGTGGTGGGGATATTTTGCGCATCATCCCCCTAATATCTGGAAAGCACCCTGACCCAGATACACGCGTACGCGTGGAACAACTGGACACTCAGACGCAGAGAGGATGAAAGGATGGCTTCTCGTCTGTTGTTTCCGGGGAACCACATCCGTGCTCCAAAATGGCGGCACCGCTGGACGTGGCGTGAACGTGGATACTCGATTTAACACTAAAACTGGTAGACGGGTCAAACTGACCCATTCTTGTCTTCTTTATTATTGACACATTGCGTATTGGTAACGAGAAATCTCGTTTTTATATGAAGACACTTAGCTATGCAACTTCGCTAATCACCACAGGATTGAAAAAATATAAAATTTCACTCGAATTGATTATTTATTTAAAATATATTACATGACAATATGATATCTGAGTTTTTCTATGTATAGTGATATTGACCTCAGTGAAAATTGCCATCACAATTCAGTTTTCTGAAAATTAGTGATAATTAATGTGTTAACATATTGCACACCGGTAACGAGAAATCTCGTTTTTATAAGGACACTTAGCTATGCAACTTCGCTAATTACCACAGTATTGATAAAATATAAAATTTAATTCGAATTGATCATCTATTTAAAATATATTATATGACAATATGATATCTGAGTTTTTCTATGTTTATAGAGAAATTTCAGAAACTCAAATTCACTGCTCGGTAGTTTTAGTGTTAAGTACCGTTGCAGGACGAAGCTTCTGGTCCATTTTTGGAGAACTGAATGGCTGCTTGATTTGTTTGTCATGATACAAAGCTGGAGAAAGATTGTTAAGGGATGTTTTATTTATTTACGTGTTACGGATATCTACGTTTGATTTGTTTTTATTACATAGTGTTTATAGCTTGGTCAGTTTTGTTTTTAACCCTTCATAGTATGCATTTAACAGATTGATAGCTTCCAAATTGCTCAAGAATTACAATAAGCTTGATTGTAAATAAAAATATTTAGTAACACAAGTAGCTAGATCATAGTGTAATATGACTTAAATCATTAATAATTATTTTCAATGTCATTTACCTATTATTAAAGATTACTGTACAAAACGCTAGAAATTCTCGTGATAGTCAACGCGTTGACTATCATTCTTTTACCTCGCAACGCATATCGTTCTTTTTTTCTTGTTCAGTTGGTTTATAAATACACACTTCGATTGTTCGCGTTGAACAACTGAAGCAGGCCGGTTATTTATGTAACCGCCGAGTTCCCAAACAAAGTCCCGGTAAAGATTTCCAGCGAGTACAGTTGTTCTTCGTGAAGTTCGTTTTCGCGTAAATGGAAGTCGTGTATCGACTCGCCGAGTACGCGTGCACTCGAGTACAGTGCTGCTCGAGCGTCTGCCGCTGCACTCGAGTGCACGCGCACTTAGACAACACGCTCGCATTCAATTTTCTCGAAAACAGCGGGCTGGAAAGTGAATACACTCTTTCGGATTACATGAAATATTAAACCGCCCTTGTGTGCCCGACTTCTCGATGCTGTCAAACGCTTTTCAAAGTTCTCCTTCGCGGCCCTTCATGCTGCGAGTACAAATGGTACTTTTCCATTGTCGGAGCGCCGCTCTCGTTACCGAACCGACACGTGAAAAACTCAGATAGCCGAAATTAGACCGTAACGCAATTTATCTATCCACTTCAAGGAATCTTTAAACCGTTTGCACTCGAAAGGTGCCTCGATTGGTGCGTCAAAATTATAAAATTTCGTATTTAACATTAAGTCTAGTAGTCTGTCGATGTGTGAAATGTGGAAATAAAATACTATTGTTCGCCTTATTCGGTGAATCGATTCCTCGTTGAGTTAGTTTAACACGTTGCACGCCGCACGATTTCACAGAGGAAAATACACAAAATGAAAAAAAATACGATATTAAATCATTTGACTGAATTGGATTGTTATCATTGCACATTCATCAAACTGAATGTCACCGTAATGGGTATCATTATTTATAATATAGGAATGTTTGCGAATAATCATCGTTTAATTGAGTGAATTATAATAATTCGATTTGCTTGGGGGTCACCGGTGACCCCATGGCTTTCAACGTGTTAAAATGTCATCCATATTTCATAAAAATAAATTGAATATTTCTAGTGACAAATTTTTGGAGTGCAAAGGGTTAATTCCGGACGAAGACGTCGAACTAATGAAAAAGCATCGATTAATGCTTTGAATGTCAAAATAAATCACTATAATTCACTCGATTAAACGGTGATCATTTGGAGACATTTGTATATTTTAATTAATATTACCTGGTGCAATGACACTGGCGTAATTAAATGATTCGATACTATTTATTCTGATTTCTATTCCGTTTCGTGACATCGTGCGACACTCAACGTGTTAAAATACACGCGAGACGAAAATGGGAAGAAGGCAATATAAAATTGAAACTAGAATAGAATGACAAACTCTAAAGCCGGTTTCAATTATTCCCGGCGACGAGAAATTCGGGGGACAACGAGAAGCTACTTTCGACGCTCCGAATGTGTCGCGGAAATGGCGAAACGGGCACGGGCGTCGTTCCCGTATTTATGGGAAGCGCCATGAATGATTCCCGGTGTATACACGACGTAAAATCGTAGTCAATTAAACTCTTCAAAATCCCGTGCCCGGGATTAACGGGATTACCGCGTGGAAATTGTGCAATTTCCATTCGATGAATCCGTCGACATTCCTGTCGATGCCAAGGAGCCCATCAGGCACTCGATTAGTCCGCTGATGCGCCGTCCAATTCTCCGGCTAATTGTAGTTTCTATTTGACGGCTCGTCCGACCAGTTTTCGTCCCATTTATTCGGTTATCGGAACGAAATCACCGCTAAGAATTGACGTCACCCTAAAGATAAACGCGGAAATTCGTATCGCGAGTGTCCCGTCGGACGCTTTCGATCTTCCCTCCCGAAAATCACCAATTTCGAGCGTCGACACGCAAAATTTAGATAAAATTCCATTTATCAAACAACACGTATTACCTGATTACGTTGAATATACAAAAGTGTAGGGTATGCGAGAGATTAACCCTTTGCGGACGAAGATTCTTTGAAATGTACCAAAACAACAGATGAAGCTAAATTATATATGAATTGTATAATTGATAGAACAAAAGGAAACTGCGTGCTGATCTCTTGCTGTTCGAGTAATTAAATCATTTTTTTGCTTAGTCTACGA